CCCCCTCCCTTTTTTTTTTTTCCTCTTTGGTAAGCTGAAAAGTCTGAGTCGGGACCCATTCCAAACCCCTAATAATTTTTGTTGCCCTTTTTGAACCTTTTCCAATGCCAATATCTTTTTTGAGACGAGCTGACCACATCTGTACGCAGTATTCAAGATGTGGGCGTACCATGGTTTTATAGAAAGACAAGATATTCTCTGTCTTATTCGCTATCCCCTTTTTTAACATGCTAATATTCTGTTATCTTTTTTGACTGCTGCTGCACACTGAGCTCTACGCTGCAATATTAAATCGTATCTTTTTCCGATTTACTTTTGAAAGAGGTTCTTTTGAAATTTGGCGCGTCTACACAAAGCCAAATGTCTAAAGAAAGTGCTCTTTCAACACAACCCTTATTCCTCATAGAAGGAGGATTACAGGGATGGCGAAAGAGCACATCCACTTTTTTGAAAAAATGTCCTTGGACATGGCAATACTTTTCCAGGATACCACCGGTATCCGAAAAAAGCAGTGCACTCTAGACATAGCCTGATGTTTTCAGAGAACTATCCACAGTGACTCCAAGATCTCTCTCTTGAGTAGTTATAGCTAAATTAGTCCCCCTCATATCATGTATATAGTTGAGATTATTTCTTCCAATGTGCATTACTTTATCAACGTGAAATTTCATTTGCCATTTTATTGTCCATTCACTTAGTTTGGTGAAACCAAGGGTCCATCCTGGGACCAATCCTATTCAACCTATTTATAAATGATCTAGAGAAAGGGGTAAACAATGAGGTGGCAAAATTGGCAGATATTAAACTGCTCAAGCGACGAAGAGTCCTGTGGCACCTTATAGACTAACTGAAGTGTAGGAGCATAAGCTTTCGTGGGCAAAGACCCACTTTGCCCACGAAAGCTTATGCTCCTACACTTCAGTTAGTCTATAAGGTGCCACAGGACTCTTCGTCGCTTGAGCAGTTTAATATCTGCCAATTTTGCCACCTCATTGTTTACCCCTTTCTCTAGATCATTTATAAATAGGTTGAATAGGATTGGTCCCAGGATGGACCCTTGGAGGACCCCACTAAAAATTTACCATTTATTCCTACCCTTTGTTTCCTGTCTTTTAATCAGTTATCAATCCATGAGAGGCACTTCCCTCTTATCCCATGACAATTTACTTTATTTGGTGAGGGACCTTGTCAGAAGCTTTCTGGAAATCTAAGTACACTGGATGTACTGGATCCCCCTGGTCTACATGTTTGTTGACCCCCTCAAAGAACTCTAGCATGATTTCCCTTTACAGAAACCATGTTGACTTTTCCCAACTAATTATGTTCATCTGTGTCTGACAATTTTGTTAGTTACTGTAGTTTCAACTAATTTGCCCAGTACTGATGTTTGAGTTACTGGTCTGTAGTTGCCAGGCTCACCTCTAGAGCAGCATGCTCTCTAAGCTTCACTGCCATGCACAAAAAATGTTAGGCCCTCCCAACTTGTCTGCAGAGCCGCACAGGAGCACGCACAGTGAGTGGTGCTGGCGACGACGGCAGTGGCCTGGTGAGCTCTGGCGGGGCCGGGGGCTGGCCTGACCCTCCTACATGCTCTGGGGCTCCTACATGCGCTGGCACTGGGGGTGGTTGGGATGCCGCAGCCCAGCTAGGACCAGAGCCAGTGTCAAGCAGTGGTTGGTCAGGCTGCCCCAGGTGGGACCGGAGCCACCCCATGGTAGGAGGTGGCTGGTCGGGTGACCACGGGCGGTGGAGCCAACATGTGCGGGGAGTGGGGTGGCTGGTTGGCAGCCCCGGGGACCGGAACTGCCATGTGTCGAGCAGCAGCTGGTTGGGTGGCCCCAGCTGAGAGCAGAACCCCCATGTGGCAAGTGGCAACTGGACAAGCGGTACTGGCCGGGATTGGAGCTGCCAAGTGGTGGGTGGTGGTGGCAGCTGCTCTGGGCTGGGGCCAGAGTCACCAAATGGGGGGTGACAGTGGCAGCTCCAGGACTACAGCACCAGCCTGGTGGGCACCTGCCAGCCAGCAGCCCTGGCACCCTTACCCCAGGAGCTGCTGGCCACCCGGTTGGGAGTGCTGGGCAGTGCAGCCCCAGCTCACCCCTCGTCCCCCCAGTTGAGGGAGCCCTGCAGCCCAGCCTGCTTCCCTCCCCAGCAAGCAGCTTCCTGGGGGGTCAGGCAGCCCAGTCCTGGGCCCAACCCCCTAAAGAATCAGCAGCCCAGCTCCAGCCTCCCCCCAGCAAGGACCTGTCACTTCCCTGACCGCTCAGCCCCGCATCCTGAATTTCCCCCTGCTCTGAATCCTGCAGCCCCTGCCCTGATTCCTGTATCGCAGGGTCATGCTCCTTGTTAATTTTCCCTTGGTTTGGTATTTTTTCTTTTCTAAGTGTGTCTATGTGCGTGTGCACACACAATGTCAATGTGGTGCACAAGTCAAAACTCACTCTGCTCACAGCTGGGAAATCTTAGCAGAACACTGCTCTAGAGCCCTTTTTAAATATTGGAGTCATGTTCGCTATCTCCCAGTCATTAGGTACAGAAGCTTCCTTCTCTGTCCCTGGGCCTTGCAAGGGAAACTGAGTCTCATGGCTTTTGTGGCCTGTGCATGTGAGCATTCAGGGCTTGTTATATTTTTGGGGGTTGGGGTGGAAAAGGTCTGGGAAATCCTAAAAATAGCAATTTAATGTAAATCCCATCTCCTTTGCCTCTCCAGTAAGTCACAGTGTCTCAGAGCTGGGTGAGGGGTAACTATGCAAGTGGCTGCCCCGCCTTAGAGGTGGCTGCATCTTTGCACCGGGTAAGGGGTGGCTGCATTTAGAGCCTACCCTCTGTTAACACCTTTCTCGGCTCTTCCTTTCAGACTGCTGACCCCTTCGCTTTGAGAGTCCCCTGGCTCGGGATGGCCTCCCAAATCTGCATGTCTGCACCCCAGAGCTGGTCACATCGGGGAGCCTCCTGCCAGATATCTTGTGAATGATGCATGTTGGTTTCCTCTTGATGAGCTGTGAACCCCACTAAGTGCCTTTGTTTTCAGGGTGCAGCTCCATGGGGGGGCGAGAACTGGCCAAAGACAGACTCAGACTCATGTTTTGGGGGTTGGTGCCCCAGTCGCTGAACCAAAGCCAATTCCTTACTCATTTTCAGGGGGGCATCTCCTTGGCTTTCCACCCCTTGGGGCAGACTTCAGGAGGCCTTCTGGGGCGGAATGTCCTTATTTTGGGGGATTTGTCTCCTTTCTGTTTTGAGATCACCTCTTTGCATCCCTCCTGTGTTGCCCCATCAATATTTTGGTGCCTTCCTGTCCACCCCCAGCCTGCCTGTGTTTTGGGGTATTCTTGACTGCCCCCAAAGTCTCTGCCCCTGTGCCCACTGGCTACGTCTACACTGGCCCCTTTTCCAAAAGGGGCATGCTAATTTTCCAGGTCGTAATAGGGAAATCCGCGGGGGATTTAAATATCCCCCGCGGCATTTAAATAAAAATGTCCGCTGCTTTTTTCCGGCTTTTAGAAAAGCCGGAAAAGAGCGTCTACACTGGCCCCGATCCTCCGGAAAAAAGCCCTTTTCCGGAGGATCTCTTATTCCTACTTCAAAGTAGGCTTTTTCTAAAAGCCGGAAAAAAGCGGCGGACATTTTTATTTAGGATTTCCCATTTTATTTTAATAGGATTTCCCTATTACGACCTGGAAAATTAGCATGCCCCTTTCGGAAAAGGGGCCAGTGTAGACGTAGCCACTATGTTTTGCTCTCCACAGTGTAGAGGGAGGGAAATCATGTCCCCTCCCAGGAGTGCCCCATTTTGGGGACCCTGCTGCACCCCAAAGTGATTGTGGGGTCATGCCTTTTGAAAGGAGAATTTGAGGTTCACTATGTGCTCAGTGGGCACCGGGATTGCACAAGAAATGGTTGGCTGGGTTCCTACCCTGCTTCCAAACCCAATTCCCCTCTGCACCCCAAATGCCCCAAATCTGCTGGTTTTTTTTTTTTTTTTTTTTTTTGCACTAGGTCTAAAATGGTTCATTTGAAACCAAGTAATTGATGGAGCTCACTCTGCGGCTGGGCTGAGGTAGTTTTATTATGAATCCAGCAGCCTGTGGGATCAGGGCTGCTGCATGTTCAGTGTGCTTTGGCCCACTCCCCTGTAGGTTTGGGAATGCTGAGCTGCCGGCGGAGCCTGCTTCAGGGAGGTGTTTCTAGACCCCAGAGCATCAGCCCTGTTTGTAACACTTGGGGTAGTGGAAGTTTTGCTGCGGGGAGATGCTGGCACTTGGCGAGATGGAGGAGCGAGGCAGGAGGGAATTTCTGCAGCATTAAACTTTCTCCGAGTGGCGCAGTCACAGCTCTAGATGGGGGATTGTTTGGAATCCTTAAATCCTGCCTCCTGATGGCGGGATCCAAATGATCTTGTTTCTGTGCCTGGTATGACATCTGCTTTTGCAATGAAGGGAGTTTTGAAATCCACTTTGGGAAGGTTTCGTTTCCTGTTGCCTGTTCGCTTTGCAGGATTTATGACAAATGAAAAGTTTAGAAACAGGAGTTAGATTCTGTTGGCCACCCAAGGCCCTTGGTGGGGAATTTGGAGCGCTAGGAATCGCTAATTCCTTCTGTGCTAATAAAGCCTTTTGGTTGTTACTTGTGTCAAATCAGCTGTATGGGAAAACTGGGGATTGACATAATTTGAAATATGCTCAGAGTTGATTTTACAGGCCTCTCCTGTGTGCCTCATCTCTCCCGGGCCTATGAAAAATGGCCATCCATCCCATGTGTTCAAGAGTCGATCCATTTCTGCGGCTTAAGAAAATTTTGCAAAATTATTCTCAGCTGCTGGGAGTTCATTTTCCTTCTCCTAAATGTAATTTATGCCTGAGGGGTGTTTGCAAAGATATTTCCAGCCAAAAAAAAAATCTTTCTCAAATGAAGAGGTGTTGCAAGTTTAATTTATTGTCTTGGGCTGTTGGCAAATACATTCCCCAGGAAAAAAAAAAAAAGGATTTCTAAACATGACAAGATTCAGGTGCCAATTTGGCTAACTTAGCTAGATTTTTTTTAAGCCAATCTCATAACTGTGTCCAGTGTTTCCTAAGGCGGCAGCTGATTAGGAAAACAGCTTTTGCATTCAGTGTTTAGTTCAAAATAATTTTGCAGCCCTACTTCATTTACAAAATAAATGTCTTCAACTGAAAGGAGTTTCAGAAAAATATAGCTATTCACACAGATATATACACACACACACATCCTCAAAGCATTGGCGAGATATAGATATATACAAATCTCTGTACATTTTAGAGAGTTTGTGGGTCTGTGTGCAAGTCCATTTGTCCAAGAGCTCCTTCTAAAGGGTTAGTGCTAGGACCAGCACACTTGGTTTGCTGCTTACTCTGACCCTAACTTAAAGCAAGGTCAGGGTTTGGTTGTGCCAGGACAATGGGTTGTGCCTGGAATTTGATTGTTTTCCATAACATGGAAAGGGAAGGGGCTGAGCAGACCAATGCGATACATTCATCACTGGGGGCAGCAAGTGCAGGGGACACTAGACTACAGAGTGACCGCAGGAGCAGCTGCACCACTAAGAGAGTGGTCCCCCCATGACGCCCCCCAGAAGATGCATGCCGCCCCTCCCCCAACACTGATACCAGGACTGGGAATCCTAGACGAGCCCCAGACCAGGTGCAAGGCAGGGGGCAGCTGAAGCCTACCCGCCCTCTTGGATCAGTAGCAGGATGGAGAGGCTACTAGAGCCTAGGGCTGACTCCTGGAACACTCCTCACAGGCTGGAGGAGAGGGCTTGCTGAGCAGTGCCCACCCCCAAGAAGTTGGAGGCTGGGTCCAACTCCTGAAGCTCCAGGCCCCAGGGAGGAGCTGCTGCCAGAGCAGTGCCATTCTCACTACCACAGGCAACCTTGGTAACCTCCGCTGCCCTGACTTTTGCACCCCCTCCCCTGAGCCCCCCTGCCCAGAGGCCTCATCACACCAAACCCTGTGCCATCAGCCCCCATCCCCTGCCCTCACTCCAGCTCCCTGTTGAGCCCTCCAATCCTCCCAGACCCCTGCCTTCACTCCTGCACCACTACCCTCAAACTTCCCCACTGACTCCAGCACCTCCGCCTGCAGTCTCCCACACAAACCTCTGTCCTAACTTCTGCATCCCCTGCCCTCAGCCCCCCCCCACTGAACCCTGTGCCCTTAACTCCCTGTCATTAATCCTGCACCCCACTCCCTTTTTAATCAAGCAAAAGATAGAAAAACTGCAAATATTGTCTACCATCAAGCGCTAGCTAATGTTTGGATCACTTTCCTTTTTTTATTACAAATTTCTTTCATTTGTTTTTGAAAACTACAGTCATTTACATCAAGCATGTATTTCGTTCCTTTTCGTTTCCAAACAAACTCAAAACCCCGTTACTTCACTTAAAGACCTGAGCAACACCAAGTCCATCTACTAGTCTATTATATATTTGAAAGCATCTGTGTCCATTTGTCTGCCTGTTTGTTCAAGGACTCCTAAACAGTAAGGCTGTGTCTAGACTGGCATGATTTTCTGGAATTGATTTTAACGGAAAAGTTTTCCGTTAAAAGCATTTTCGGAAAAGAGCATCTAGATTGGCACAGATGCTTTTCCACAAAAGCACTTTTTGCAGAAAAGCATCCGTGCCAATCTAGATGCGCTTTTCCGCAAAAAAAGGCCCCGATCGCCATTTTCGCGATCAGGGCTTTTTTGAGGAAAACAAATCTGAGCTGTCTACACTGGCCCAAAGTTTTGCGCAAAAGGACTTTTGCCTGAACGGGAGCAGCATAGTATTTCTGCAAGAAGCACTGATTTCTTACAGTAGGAAGTCAGTGCTTTTGCAGAAATTCAAGCGGCCAGTGTAGACAGCTGGCAAGTTTTTCCGGAAAAGTGGCTGATTTTCCGGAAAAACTGGCCAGTCTAGACACAGCCTAAGAGCAAGGGCCACCAAATTCGGTGTGTAGCTTCCTCTTATCCTAACTTAAAGCAAAGTCAGGGTTTGGTTGTGCCAGGATAATGGGATATGCCTGGAATGGGACTGTTTCTCATAGAACCCAACAGAAAAGAGGTGGAATCACCAGGCAGGTGCAAGGGGCTGGCTGGGTTTGCCCATCCTTTAGCCAGGTCTGCTCCAACTCTGAGCCTCCCATTTGCGGATGTGCAGAGGTGTCGGGCCTGAAGTCTTCCCCATTCATATGGGGACATTGCTGATTGTTCCCCTTCATCAGGGAACAAGGGAAAAGTGCACAGTTTACTGCATTCCTCACACTGGCTGAGGAGCACAGGGGACAGACAAATCTGGACCTGTGCTTGGCCAGGGGTCATGCACCCGGCCTCTGGCTGTACCTATTGGAGCTGCAGTGGCCATGGAGCAGTAAGTCTCACCTGGCCCAAACTGCTGTCGTGAAAGAGGGCTGGAGTAACCCTCTCTCCCCAGGGTAGCCTGCAGTTCGAACTCCTCATCCCCGAGCAATTACTTAAATGAAGCACAGACATTGTAATTTTATTTTCAAAAAAATCAGACATGAATTAAGGACCCCAGCAAAGCTGGGTAAATCTTCTAGTCTATATCTATAGCTCTATCCTCAAAACATTGGAGACTACCCAGTGCATCGTCGCAAACTAGTTTTAGATTTTTGTTTTTTTCTCTCTGTCTCGCTCTGTGTGTGTGTGTGCACGCATGAGAGAGAGAGATCAATGTATCTGAGCCATATCATATTGAGAGTGCTATGTTCCTAAATTAAAACACCCTGAGTTAAACAGGCTTGCAACGACATTTCCAGTTTTCAGCCCATCCCTGACATGACAATGACAGCAGCAAAGTGGTTTAATGGAAGAAAAGAGTGACATTTTTCCACAGATGAATTTATGCATTTAAAATGCAGCCCCTGGTCTTTGTTGTGAATCCCTATAATTTGCCATTTGCAAGGAGGAGGGGATTTTTGAGCAGGCTGTCAGTCTTTATACAGAGCCCATGTTTACAAAGTCAGTTCTTCTGAACTGAAGCCTGTTCAGTGATTTCTGTCTGTAGCAATGTACAAATCAGCTTAATTTAAGAGAGACGTTGCATGGCTGCACTACAGTTAGAGGCTGCTTGCAGATGTGGGCTCCGCTATAAGTCTCTCCCAAATGAAGGAATTGCCAAATTGGTTCATAAGCCAGCAGCATTTGTGGTTCATTTTGCAATGCCTGTGAAGCTGGTCAGGTTTTTTTAGGCGTCAGCAAAGGGCCTGCTCAACCCCCTCAGTTAAAATCTTTCCCCAAAGCAGCTGCAAAATGGGGTTAGCTGGTAAATCTTTTCTCCCAGCACGAAGGAGCTTGAGAGGAAGGGCTTTTGAGCTGTTGGTGTCTTAGCTGGAAATACCCCTTTCCCCTCTTGATAAAAGACCTCGCCCATGGGTTTGAAGGGGAGGCTGTTTAGGAAATGGATTGTCTGGGTCATTCTCAGGGAAAGCCCCAGCATCATTATATGGTGCAGATGATGTCACTAGACCAGGCCACCCAGACTCTTTTTTCTGGTGGGTGCATAAAAAAATGCTCTTTCCTCCTGTCTTTGAGAGGAATTGAAAGAGCAGGTGGCCATTTTTGTGAGGCCTACAGACTAGGTGACGCAAGGCCTGGTGGTATGGTGGCAATGTTGGGGGATTGGTCCAGTCAGAGGGGGAGCTATTTTTATGGCCCTTTGTGGGGAGGGTCACAGCAGCCATTTTTGTGTGACCCATGAAATGAGAGGTGACCCTGCCCTTCCCCTGCTCTGAGATAACCATGAGGGGGCATGGCTGGTTGAAGCATGGCTGTTTTTTGTGAGACCTATGTAATCTGGTAGATTTGAACCTGGGATCCCTGTAGTGTAGTATAGGAGCCTCTACAGCTTAAGCTGCAGAGCTCCCTTTTTCTTATCTCTCGGGGTAAGTGATCTAAGTTCCACTACGTGGGTCACTGTCCCGTCCTAGGTGTGTGGGTTACACCAACAGAAGAAACTTTTTCTACTGCTGGACATTTTTGTGGGGCCTACTGAATTAGTGGTGGTGGAACTGACTCTGCCCACCCCCATTCAAGAACCCTCCCCCCAACCTACTGCTCCTGGGCTGGGATTTATTTGCTTCTTTTTTGTGTGTGCTGTGGAAATCAAAGGTTGGAGGAAAGCCAGCCCGGGGAGTGTGTGTGTCTCTCTCCGGTACCCCTCAGCATGGGGGCGGGTTGCAGCCCAGCTACTGCTGGCCGGCATGTGTGTGAGGAGTCGCTCAGTGCCTAGGCGGGGGGCCGAGCCGGGGTCCCAGGAACCCCAAACCTACAGGGGCAAGGAGGCAGAGAAGGTCAGTTTCGGAGCTGGAGACCGCGGCCGAAAGGGAGGGAAGCGATTTGCCTCGTTCCTCCACTAGAGGGCAGAAGAGCTCTGGGAACAGCGTGAACCCAGGAGTCCTGGATCCGCCCCGCAGTCTCCGCTCCCCGCCCTGAGCCGGGCAGGGAACCCAGGAGCCCTGGCTCCCGCCCCCCTGCTCTGACCCGCGGTGTGCCCTGGGGGCGGCCGGTTCGCCGCTGCCCTTTCCCGGTCTGGCACTTCTGGGCTGGGTTCGAGACAGCGAACCCGGCGGAGCCAAGTGGGCGCAGAAGGGCCTGGGCGGGTGCCCCTGGTGCGTTTGTGGGGAACGGGCCCCTGACCCAGCTTGGACGGGCTCAGCCGGTCGCGGACCTGGGACCGCCCCCGCAGGCAGCTCCCAGCCCGTGTGGCAGCGGACAGGGAGTCCCAGCCAGCCACGTGGGACCCCCGGGTAGTGTCCTGGTGCCAGACCGCCCCCCGCGTGGGCCAGCCAGGGAGGGGCAGTTCCCAGCCAGAGCGGCGGGGAGCTGAGAACGGGCGCGCTCGTTCCATGCCCCGGCCGCCCTGCACCGTGGGGTGCGGCCTGGCAGACGTGGCCCGAGGCCCTGGCTCCGCGCCGCTGCTGTAGGGCTCGCTCGAGCCATGCTTTGGCCCCCACTCTTGTGGGGCAGCCCGCCGGCTGGGCTCTGGGTGAACTGGCGCCTTTGGGTCCCGGGGCAGCCCCGCGCGGGGAGCTGCACCCCTCGGCCCGTGTAAAGGCCCAGCTACTGCTGCCCAGCAGGGGGAGTCGCTCCCCGGGCGGGACAGGCACCGAGGCGCTGAGCCCTGCGCTGCCCCGCCCCGCTGCCTTTGTGGAAGATCTGAAGCAGGAAAGCGGGGGCTGGGAGTCCCCGAACCAGCGTGGGAAGGGGCAGGAGCTGCCTTGAGACTGTGCAAGGGAAACAGAGGCTGGCGCTTTAGCAGACCCAGCCCAGCTCCGGGATAGGCAGGGCGGGACAGAGCAGCCCAGAGCCGAGGGAGGGTCATGCAGCTTTATTCCCCTAGAGGGCACCCCAGCGCTGAGGAGAGAACCCAGCCTCCCTGCTCTCACCCCCAGCCCTCCACTCTCCTCCCGAGAGCAAGGGAAAAACCCAGGCAGAGGTGAGGGGGCACTCAGGAGCAGGTAGGTCCAGGCTGGTAGGGGAGGGGGAAGGACTTGGGGGCTGTAGCCCAGGCCTGGGAGAGGAGGTAGAGCCAGGTACCAGTCCCTCCCTTGATCCCTTTACCCCCAGGAAAATAGGGGGAGTAGGGGCAAGTTGGGGGTTCACTCTTCCCCCCTGGCTTCTTAACTTTCTCGTCCCTCCGGAGCCCCATGGGCAGTGGTTGCCCCTAGATACTGATGTGAAGCCCCCATTTGCAACTGCAGAGATCCCCAGCCCCTTGTTATGAGAGGGGGGAGTCTGGCCCCCAGTTCCTCCCTGTCCACAAATAACCCCCCTTCTTGTGATCAATCCCCTGCATTGCTGCCCAAGGGCGGGTTCACTGCCTTACACAGCTGGGCCAGCCAGTGGAAAGGCCCCACAATAGGGTTACTGGGGGTAGGGTTAGCAATAGGAGCTCAGAATCCCACTTCTGCCACCCACGAGTTTTCCAAACAGCAGCTGCCACTTCAGGGGGGACAGTATGGCCCTGAGGCATGCAGTGGGATGAGAGCACCTCTGTACAGTCAGTGCTGCTTGGGGCTGAGTCAGGCCTACCCATACACTCCCTGGGGTGTTCTAATCCTAGGGGCCACTGCTCTTCGATTAGTGCCTGGGCCACCCCCTTAGGTCTTGCTGGAGGTGCTCTCTGGGGGTTCGGCAGGGCCTGGACAGGCTGGGCCAGTGGCCCCAGGCTCTCCTCATCCAGGACATGCTGGGGCTGGCACAGGGATTCCTGGCAGGAAAGAGGAGAAGTTAGAGGGGCAAAGGGGTGGGTATTGGGGGATAGGAAGAGGCAACGATTCAACTTCCACCACTGGAGGCAATAGTGCAATCCATCCCACACTCAGGGAGGCTTTAGAGCAGGCATGTGGCCAAGCCAGATGGGGCCCTCAGAGCCATTCCAGCAAGTCCTATGTGAGGCTGACCGATTCATGCACAGCTTTGTCAGGCAGTTGCCGTAAGCCCCTGCTCTGTCCACTGAGCAAGAAAGGGAAACAGCCAGAGCCTGGGGAAAGTGGTTAAGTGAGCAGCACCCCACTGGAGCCCTATTCCCAGGGCCAACAGCTGGTTCTAGGCCCAGAGCTGACCTAGGTTTTTTGCTTTACTCTGGGTCTTGTTTTGGGGGAGTATGAGGCAGTGCCTGACCCCCCCAACAGGGCCCTGATCTTGGTAACTAGTTAAATGCCCCCTGCATTCCCATGTGAGCCACCCGGCAGCACTAAAGCACGGCCAAGCCAAGGCAAGGCAAAACAAGACAAAAGCCACATGGCGGGTTGGAAAGCTCCATTTCTCAGCAAGTGCGACACACACGGCGTCCGGGAGGAGAAAGCCACAAGGGGAATTTACAAGAGGGAACTGCCGAGCAAGGGCCGCGCACTATTTACAGCTTTGTACAGTGTTGTGAGCCACCCGGCAGCACTAAAGCACGGCCAAGCCAAGGCAAGGCAAAACAAGACAAAAGCCACATGGCGGGTTGGAAAGCTCCATTTCTCAGCAAGTGCGACACACACGGCGTCCGGGAGGAGAAAGCCACAAGGGGAATTTACAAGAGGGAACTGCCGAGCAAGGGCCGCGCACTATTTACAGCTTTGTACAGTGTGCCCAGGCTCGGCCTTCCAATATATATCAAATATAGAGCTGTATAATTTAATAGCGTTAAGGCAGGCGGCCCGGCCAAGGGGGGAACAGCCGGGAGGCAAAGGAGGAGAGGAAGACGGTGGGACCGAAGTCCCCATGGGCAGCTGGATTACCAGGGCTAGCCCCAGCAAGGCACGCAATTCCCCAGGTGAATGTGGCCAGATGGCACGTTTCCGGCGAGAGGCACTGACGAGCAGGAGCGAGGGCCTTGCTTGCATGGAGGGGGAGCAGGGCCCAGCTGGGGGGGGTGTCTCTCTAGGAGGCGGATTTGAAGATGGCAGGAGCTGCCAGGGGCTAGATGATGCAGTTCAGGAGCTCAGTTCAAAGGGGAACCCGCAGAGCCCCCACAACCAACTGTCAACCTGGCCCTGCAAAACTCCACAGGGAGATGGGGTGAAAGTGGGGTCCTGAGGGACGCTGGAGTTGCCTCCCAGGCCCCACTGGGAGTAAGGGGGGGACCCTGGTGGTCACGGGGGACTGTCAAGGGGAAGCATTGCAATATATATTAAAAATAGAGCTGTATAATTTAATAGCGTTAAGGCAGGCGGCCCGGCCAAGGGGGGAACAGCCGGGAGGCAAAGGAGGAGAGGAAGACGGTGGGACCGAAGTCCCCATGGGCAGCTGGATTACCAGGGCTAGCCCCAGCAAGGCACGCAATTCCCCAGGTGAATGTGGCCAGATGGCACGTTTCCGGCGAGAGGCACTGACGAGCAGGAGCGAGGGCCTTGCTTGCATGGAGGGGGAGCAGGGCCCAGCTGGGGGGGGTGTCTCTCTAGGAGGCGGATTTGAAGATGGCAGGAGCTGCCAGGGGCTAGATGATGCAGTTCAGGAGCTCAGTTCAAAGGGGAACCCGCAGAGCCCCCACAACCAACTGTCAACCTGGCCCTGCAAAACTCCACAGGGAGATGGGGTGAAAGTGGGGTCCTGAGGGACGCTGGAGTTGCCTCCCAGGCCCCACTGGGAGTAAGGGGGGGACCCTGGTGGTCACGGGGGACTGTCAAGGGGAAGCATTGCTCCAGCCCCACCCCTGTGTGCATGGCCCTTGAGTGTGACAGCAAGAACCAGCTCCCAGGCTGGGCAGTGGCTGGGAGAGCACTGATCCAGCAGGGCCCCCATAGGTCTCCCTAAGGCACATGGGAAGGGCAGGGCCCCTGCACCCCAGGGCTAGGCTCTGGGGGCCCCACTGGTCAGAACCCACACAGTTTGCAATAGGCCAGGAAAAGCAGCGACATCACGGAAACATAGAAGAGGGCGAAGCCGGCGAGGTGCCCAGGCAGGGCGGGCGTGGTGTGGGCAGCAGCAGGAGTGGCGCTCTCCTCGCCTCCGCAGAGCAGCAGGGCTCGCAGGGTGCCCCAGAGCCGGTGGGCGTCCCCCTGGAGCACGTCAGAGGCAGAGCACAGGGTGACCTGGGCCCGGCGCAGGAGACAAAGACAGGAGAGACATTAAGGGAGGGACTGTGGGACTGGCCCCTGCCGCGCTGGGCTGGCAACTCTGCTTGTGCCCGAGCCAGTAGGATTTCCTGCCCAGGCTGAGGAAGAGAACAGGGGCCAGTGGGTAGAGCTGGTGGGGTGGGTGTTGGGAGTCAGGACTCACAGGATCTCTCCCTGGCTCTGGGAGGGGAGTGGGGGCTGGGAGCCAGGTTCTCTCCCTGGCTGCCACTGATGTTGAACAACTCTCCTTCTCTATGCCTCTGTTTCCCCTCCTCCTAAGGCTGTCCAGCTGGGGAGCTCTCTGGGAGCAGGGACCCTGCTCTTAGCAGAGGGAATTTGGGCATCTCCTGCTGCTGTGAGGCTGGGGTCAGTGCCCGGTGCTGTGCAATGGGAGGGAGGTCTGGGCAGGACCCAGGCTCAGCCCCGCTGCTACTGCCATCCAAAGGGGCGACAGGAACCGGCAGCACCAGCCTCTTGCTGGCGTGGAGGAGTGGGTGCAATGCGGCATTCTAGGACCTGACCCCAGTGCAGCGAACAGAGTGCAGCACCAGCTGCTGAGAGGCCAGGTCCCCATCAGCTGAGAGGGCGGACCATTAGCCATGAGGGGGGAGCTTTTCACAGGAGGGGTCAGGACTTCACACTAGTGCACCAGCACGGGAGCACACTGCCCCAGCTGCACAGAGCAGGCAGGATATCTGAGATCCCCACAGTCCCCACATTACCTCCGGGACCCCCATGCGGCGACAGGCCTCCAGGAAGTTCTCCACGTTCTTCCGGCTTCTGGCCATGTTCAGCTTTGGCTGCGGAGAGCGGAGGAGAGTGAGTGGCAGGGTGGGCTGCCCAAGCTACTGTCTCGTCTGGCAGACGCTCAGGTTTCAAGAAGAGTCAGTCCAGCCCTCACAGTTGTAGAGACAGACCCAGAGCTGGGGAGAGAACCTAGGAGTCCTGGCTCCCAGGCTTTCACCCACCCAAGCCAGGCAGGGCCTCAGGCGTCTGGGGCAGGTTTCCCACTCACCACAGCGGGAGAAGGCACGTGAATGAAGGGCACCGAGCGCGGGCGCAGGTGATTGACCAGCTGGCACAGCACGGCTCCGTTGGCCAGAGCATCGCTGAGATCCTCTGCCAGAGTCATGCTCAGCCGCGACTCGATGGCCTGCATGGGGAAAAGATGATGTTCCATGTCCCGCCCCCAGGTACCTGCTTTGCACCCATGTGCGCACTGCCCACAGGGACCCACGCGTAAGGCACCTGTTTGGAACAGGGGGCTTCACCTGCTTTTCCTCAGGACCCAGTTGAAAATTGTTGAGGCCCATCACCCAACATAAATCTCTCTTGACTAGAGTGTGGGCTCTGGGGGGGGGGGGGGGCGGGGTAGGCGAGACGGGGCACGC